CTGGTGTAAACAACGCGTAGACAATGTAAACTATGTAATGTATGTAGACAACGTGTAAAATATGTAGATAACGCGTAAAGTATACAATTTTTGACAGATGGCAGGCCTTTAAGGTTATGTTGCTGTTTTTGCTTTGTTTTGTTTTTTGCTTTGTAAAGTTAATTGAACTGCAGATAAATGTCTAATTTGAAACAATATAAATTTAATGCAATGCAAACTTTCAAAAAAATTACTCATATTTCAAATTTTCTGTTGTCTACATTGTCTATACAATAGTTTACATAGTCTACATGGAAAAAAGTGGATATAAACAATATGTAGACAACGAGTAGACAAATCGCGTAAAGTAGATTTCATAGTCTACGGCACATCCCTGCCTTTTATCATGTACTTCTATGTACCATCGTCACCAAAAGTAACTGGGACGGCATCACATAAGCTCTTGTCCTATTATATGAATTTTATTGTCAAATATTTGTCAAACTATAATTTAAATGCATTGAAATGAATGACAGTAGAATTAGTCCAGGAGATTATTATGCATTATTTGTGTCCCAGTTACTTTTGGTGACGATGGTACCTATATGGTTTTCCGTTTTCCCCTATATTTTTGCACTTCATCTGAACAGGGACAACAGGGTTATTGAATAGGCATTAAAAAGGTGTAAATATATCATTTGTATTTAAAGTGTGTTTTTTTTTAAAGATAATTCCATAAGTCAAAAATGTACTAACTATGTTGGCAACACAAGCCTTTTCTACATAAAAAATTTGAAAGATTGACAATTTTACATTGTATTGCCAACATAATGTCATTTTGACTTTTATCTTTAAAAAAAAACAGATTTTACACCTATATTGGTAGGTACCTATCCAATCAACCAGTTCTGGTGGAAAGGAAAAATATATGGGAAAGCCCTGTACGTCCGAAACACATTCCTAAAAAGCCATACTAAATAAAGTTTTTTTTTTTTTTAAGACAAAAGTCAAAATGACATTATGTTGGCAATACAATGTAAAATTGTCAACGCTTTCAATTTTTTTATGTAGAAAAGGCTTGTGTTGACAACATACTTAGTAAATTTTTGACTTGGGGAATAGACCTATCTATTTTACCAGACAAAGAGGTAATAATACGAAAACTTTATTAGATAGAAAGAGGCGCAAAACGCTTACTGCGCAAGACGAGGCAAAACGTACCAAATTATGTTAGACTTACGTATAGCAGTCTGTTCTTATTATTTGCACAGGATAAAAAAGGAAGGAGGAAAACCGCGTGACATGCAACGTATTTGTCAATAAAAAACACAAACAATTGAAAATCGAACACTTGTCAAGCTACGTCAAGTTGAATATCAAGCATAATTTTATCCTTGTCAAACCATGGGCAATGAACAAGGACAAGGAGATGCCCAGCGTGCAAAAGGATTACTTTACACCTGTACTAGTCAGCCAATAAAAATGCATTGTCTCGTGTTGCGCGCGCATACAGGTAAAAATAGATAGGTCTATTATCTTTAAAAAAAAAACAGACTTTACGTACGTTAATAGACGTCCCAAACACGTACCTAAAAAGCCGTACTGAGTACCTACGTCCCTCAATGTACGTACGTGGGACGTACTATTTTGTGGAAAACGACCGTCTTAAAGACGTCCCTCGGACGTCGGTGTACAATGTTAATTATAATATTCTATTCCATTTAGACGTTATATGAACGCATAACAATAAAAGTAAGTAGACGTTTATCACCTCAGTGATTTAAAAAGATTTCAACTCACTGTCTGCATTTTAAGTCACTGTGCCCAACTGAAAATCTGACACCTCAGTAATTTAAAATATTTTTAACTCACTCTCGGCATTTTTCCTTGAATTTTATTTTTCAAATTTCCAATTTCCACAAAAGGGGATAAAATTTTGTATACATCACGTGAATTAAAATGTTTATTTATTCGAAGAAAATTTACTTAAACTTTCTTCTAATAAATAAACAATCATTTAACTCACTTGGTGTATAAATAACTAATATCCACCTGCAATCTGGATAACTTCTAATGCACGGGCTACGTGAATCACGGTGTATACCTACATATACTTATGAACAGCAATAGCACCAATATGGAATATGGCGGCATTATCGTCACCGTATGTAAAGGTTTATTGAGTCACTGCAGTATGACGGAGCTCCTACTGGTTGAAAAATTTCCCGCCAATTCTATCCGACTATTTTAAACTTTTTTTGGATGTGAGACAAAGTTAAAATAATTTTAACTCTTCCCTTTTTTGGATCGTTTTTACTTTTACTTTTTGACTGACTGGTGAAAAGTAAATAAGACAATACGCACCACGTGTTTCCGCGCCAAAGTTTTTATTTGCATAAATTAAAAATGGAAAAAAAAAGAAAACAATGTTGAATGTAGTATCTGATCACTTTTTATCCGAATTTCCATTTCTATCGGATATCCGATCTACGGAAAACGTACGCATGAGAACTCCGGATTTAATAAAATTATTGAAACTTTCAAGTTGTGGCAACCATTAGCCTTGCCACGATTTGGAAAGGCAACCATATACCATTAGATTCGCAATAAAAATAGGTACCTACATTTACATACCTATCTGATTTTTTAGGAAAAAGAACGAGGGTAAACTATTAGGATATCAACTCACCTGTTTACACCTGGTTGTCAGGTATTGTTGTCAGGAAAAAGGTAGCCAACCATGCTGTGACATTTTCCACATGGACCACATGTTGTTTGTTTTCAATTTATACCAAATTTATTTAGGAAAAGAATGCTACTGTAAATCGGACAAAAAAATTAAAAAATAATATTTAATTGAAAATAGCCTTGCCAGGATATGGGCTGCCAACTATACCCCAGAATTTATTTATCTATACATTTTACTGCAAAAAAAAATATATTTTATCAGGAAAAAGGATGAGGGGTATTATTGTGAAGCCGGATCTCCTACTATTAAGGATTTTATTTCCCTTCATTGCAGGTATTTTATGCTTTATGGCCTATGTACCTTGCATTTGTCTAATTCTTATCCAGACCTGTTTTGAAGATGTGTAGTACCACAGGTAGTACCTATAGATGTAAGAGTACTAACCTAATCATTCCAAGAATTCTTCTTACTATTTTTAAAAATTGGCCCAGATTAAGCTTTTATTAAATCGTGATGCGTTTTGAATAGTTTTACGATTATTTGAAGCAGTCTTAGATGCTCGTACTACTGAGCTGCAATGCTCATCCCCCCCAAGGTACTGTCTTTCTGGTAGAAGAAATTTAGTACCTATATCAAACTGAAAAATATATATAAACTAAAAAATAATCCACCAGCAAAACAAAAATATTACCTATGTGATGCTCTTGTCCTCTCTTTGTTTGACTATGGTGATGTTGTCTATGGGGACTCGGGGCTATTTGCACGGCTATGCCTTAAGGGATATTTTTTCTAAGTGGAGCTTTGAATGTGACTTTTGTTTCTACAAGAGTCACATTCAACGCTTCAATGGGATTAAATATCCCTTAAGTTGTAGCGGTGCAAATGGCCGTCAATATGCTGGCTAATGAATAAGACACCCTAGATGCGTCATCAATTTACCCATTACCAGACAACTTTAGGAACCTTGGGCAAACCTCCTTATCTCAGAGAAAGGTTTGCATCTTTGGCTGGAACTCATAGAACCAGAAACTGTCAAAATGTTATTATTCCGCGCCACAGAACCGCATCTTTTCAACGGTCATTCTCCTACATGGCTGTTAAAATGTCGAATGGGTTGCAAACAGAGAGAAATTATAAAAATGCCACTTTTATCATTCAAAAAACTATAAAGAATATGCTTTTACAAGATCAACTACGATTATAGCTTAGAAAACTTGCCCCCCCCCGGTTGCCCCTGCAAGTCCAATATCACAATACATATTATCATAATGACAATCTTCTCTAATCATGATTTTCCTCAAGGTGCAGTTCAGTTTTGGGTATATTTTTTTTTGTACCTACTATAAGTGAAGTAAGCTGTAAGTACAGTTCCATTTATTTTTAGTTAAGTTTTCTTAGTTTATTCAATAATTTGTATAGGGTCTTTTCGCAAAGGTTCACCTATACAGGGTGGTCTTTTTGTTATTGGTTCCATAATCCTGAAAGGATCCTTTTTTGTCAACATTCTATGAATTATATTTACATTATTGTAATTTTTACACATGGCAAAATAAAAGATTTGATTTGAATATTTGCCATGTACTTTTGTGCTGAAGTTATCATGTAACTTTTCGTTGGCTCGGATTGATATCATTTGAGTATAACAAGATTATCAGTTTGCATTTGCGTAAATTTTCAAAAATTATACTAATTAGCAATTTCGATTTTCAATTTTGGGATAATGTTATCTAACGTAGAAGCATCACTAGCAATTACAATAGGAAAATGATCACTACTATTATAAATCCTACTATTCATTGTATTGTATTAAATATAATATTCACATTTCCTTGTGGTATTGAATGAACAAGTTTCTTTAATACTTGAAAATCTGTTTTTTTTTTTTAAATTTGAATCATGATTTCTGTCAACCCTGAATTTCAATTCCGTTTTTTGTTTGGTTTGGCGACTGACCTATAGATAGAAAAGTATGGATGGATATCAATAATCTGTACTTTCTGCACAAATATATTTATTAAAAAAATGTTTTGCCAAAAAACTTATAATTAATTCACAGCAGTCAAACCTAAACATAAAACAAAACTGAACAAATTAAAATTAAATGGCCTTTTTTGATATAACAGTTCAATAAAATAAAAGAATTGGGTAAATCTAAAAGTATTCTATCGATAACCAAAAATATAATACTTAGACATCCTTATCTGAATTAAAATCCCTAAATTATAAAAGAAACAGTGAAGTAACAATAATAAATTAAAAAATTGATGAGTTCAGAAAAACATATGAATTAAAAAGGACAATAATTAACTTTGCAAAATAAATGTTTTCTTCCTTAAATAAAAACCTTATAAAAATTATCAGTCAAACTGTAAAGGATAACTGTAGGATTAGTTTTCTTCATTCGGACTTCCATAATTTCTTCACATATCTCATTCAAATATTGCTTGTGCTTCTGGTGTCTGAATAAAAAAATTCAATCAAACATAAAAATATACCTATTAATAAAAATAAAATCACTTACTTCCCCGTGCAATTATTTACAGATTTCCAAAACACAGCTTCGTTTTCAAATTCCAAAAATGACGTTAGCGTTCTGATTACACTCGATTCAATATTTACCGCGATTACGGTTGTTGGGCCAGAGAGTTTTTTGAATAATCCATCCAGTTGGGACCTGACCTATCAAAAATAAACAATGTAATTAATAATTTTAAGACGTAACAATAACTTTTTCAATAAGAATCAGTGGCGGCTCGTCAGAGGAGGCTAAACCTCCCCCAAAAAATTGAAAGTTCAATCTCAATTTTTTATTCCTGATTTCTAATTAAAATAATAATTCACAAATTACACAACAGAATTCCAATTTTCGATATTTCAATGTAATTTAGAAAAATCTGACAACATTATTTCAATCAATCCCGCGCCTCCACAACAAAAATCTGTGAATCTGGGATACTCAGTAATACCGGCCCGAAGGGTCGGATTAATACAAGCCCGAAAGGCTAGAGTTATATGCGAGCCCGACGGGCTACAGTTATTTTAATCACGGGGCTCAGTCTATAATTCTATTGGTCAGCGGATAATTTAGAGCCAATTAAAAACCGGGAGTATTTGAAATGCGATTTTTAGCGTCCGATCAAAGAGTCTGGAATATTCAAAAACTTTAGTTTTATCAAATTGACTTTGGAATGTTGATTTTCTATGGGGTTTTCTTAAGATTTTTACTTTTTTCAGAAAACGGTGGTTTTTGCAAACATATACTACTTTATCGTTGTCTTTGTCTTATTCACTATAATCAATAAAGAAACCTTGTAATGTCATTTTCATTGAAATTAAATTAAAAACAAGTTTCCTATGATTTATTTGGGGAATTTTAATTATTATAATCATTATTAATTAATTATTGAATTGAATTTTAAACAAAAAACCCTTTTAAAATGTTATTTATGTTTTCCGAGATGAGATGTGGCAACGTCGTTGCTTTTTGTTGACCATTTTAAAGTGACGTCTTGTGATTTTTTGCCAGTTTTTTTCTCGAATTTTCGACTTTTCCGGAGTTTTTTTATTGGAAAAGAGCGATTTAACATACGAGGTTTTGAGTTTTCTTCATTTTTTAGTAAAAATTTCTAGTTTTAAATGCCATAATTAGCAAAATCCCATTTAAAATGCTTTTGATGTGGCAACATCGCTTGTGGCTATTTTCAATCAAAGAAGCATTTTTGACAGTCGGCCATTTTCAATTAACGTGTTTACATTTTTATTCAGTTTTTGTTCGAATTTTCACTTTTCCGGGGCTTTTTCAGTCGGGAAAACTGATTTAAAGTACATATGAGGCTTTGAGTTTTCTTCATTTTCCACCAAAAATTTCCAGTGTTTTAACGGGGTAAGTGAGAAAAACTTTAGTTTTATCAAGTAGGTTTTGGAATGTCATTTTCATTGGTTTTTTTTTGGAATTTTTATTTAGGGTTTTTGGGGTCCGGGGATCGTTTTCCATCACTTTTTTTCTCGAAATTCGCAAAATAAAAAAAAAACTTTTTTGACGTCGACAGCTGTCAATTTTTTTGACACAAATCGATAGTCGGCGTCGTGAAACTGCCTTGTACCGAGGCTTGATTTTCGTAGCTTTTATAGTAGAGCGGGGAAAAAGTCGAACATGTGTCAAATTTGACAGATGACATCTGTCGATATTGCCAAAGTGTCGTGCGACAAAAGTTTTATCCGAACGAACCCGTTCATTGTTAACTGATTTTATTACTCCGGCCCTTCGGGCCGTAATCTTTGAAACAAAAAGACGTCATTTTGTATCAATTGTCAAAAAAACCAAGGTCTACTTTGAAATTTTTTGACGTTTGTTGTATCATGAGCAGTGTTGCCATATGTTTTTTTTCAAATCTCGAGCTCTAAGGGCCGAGATTAAAGGTTATTTTAAAACCAATCAAAAGCCGGAAATATTCAAAATTTAAAGCCAATCAAGAGCCGGGAATAATCAAAATTCAAATCCCCAAACCAATCAGGAGCCGGGAAAATTCGAAAATTCGAATTCCAAACCCGACGGCAAATTGAATTTTTTGTACCAACTGTTACTACATGTTGTTACATAAATCTCACCCTAAAACCCACTAAAAAACGACTTGTTTTCTAACCTTTGTTTTTTGGAAAAAACAAAAGAATTTTTTTTTTGAGATTGACACTTTTTGACATATTATCGATGAAACTTCTTATTTTAGGGTTTTCGGAGCATGGGGATCGTTTTCTGACATTTGTTTTTTGAAAAAAAAGAAAAGGCTAAATTTTTGACATTGATAGTTGTCAAAATTTAAAAAAAAAAACCCACATGGGCATATAGATTTAGCCTCGGCGAATACGTAGAAAGTAGCCAAACAGGGGACCGGCCAATTTTTTGACGTTTGTTGTATTATAAGCAGTGTTGCCATATGTTTTTTTTCGAATCTCGATTCTAGAAGGCTGAGGTTATCTCAATTATGAGCTCAAAGGGCCGAGGTTATACGAGTCCGAACGGCCGGAATCATGCGAACCCGAAGGGCCGGAGTTATACGAGCCCGACAGGCCGGAGTTATTTGAATCATGAGCCCGAAGGTCCGAGGTTATACGAGCCCGAAGGGCCGGAGTTATACGAACCCGTTTATTATCAACTGATTTTAATACTTCGGCCCTTCGGATCGTAATCTTTGAAACATAAAGACGCCATTTTATATCGACTGTCAAAAAAACCAAGGCCGACTTTAATATTTCAATTTTTTGACGTTTGTTGCATCATAAGCAGCGTTGCCATATGTTTTTATCAAATCTCGATTTATAGGTTATTTTAAACCCAATCATTGACATTTCTGAAAAATATTTCCTTTAAATTTCCCAAATATCCTTTGGAATCCCCAAAAATCTGTTAAAGTCTCAGAATTCCATAATTTGGAATTTTGGGGAATTTCGGTAGAATAATTATGTTATTCTGAAAAAGGAATTAGATGTGAAATTTTTGCGGAGTTTCCATAGAATTCACATTAAATTTTAATTCCTCTCGAATTACTTGAAATTTTAGTGAAATTCCGATCGAATTACACGAAATCCTAAATGAATTACATGGAGGAATTTTAAACAATTACATGAAATTACACCGAAATTACCAACATTTCAATTTTTACTGAATTTTAGTAATGCCGAGGAATTTCCAGCTAAAAACAGAATTTCGGTGATATTCCGAAAAATTCTCATGTAATGACATGAAATTTCAATATATTTCGGTGAATTTTTAAGAAATTACTTGAAAATTCATTATTCCCAGAAATTCCTGGCTATTAAAAGAGAATTTCAGTGAAATTCCGAAAAATCCTTATGAAAATAAATTAAATTTTGAAAAATTCCTTGAAGTTTCATTGGACTCTCGAGAAATTTTCGGCTATGAACGTGGATATTCTCATAAAATTTTAGTGAATTCCGAGGAATTTTTAAGAAATTACATGAAATGTCAATGAAATTCCGAAGAATTTTATGAAAATTTTGTGGAATTCCAGGATATTTCAGTGGTAAAATTTTGAGGAATTTTAGTAAAGTTAAAAAAAAAAAAATATGGAATTTTGAAATTGAAATCTTAGTCAGTGATGGTAACATTTTTTTCACGATTCCCCTTTTCAGACAAAAAAAAATCCCTACTTTCCCCTACCAACCAAAAAAAAAAAATCCCTACAATTTTCCCTACGCTTTAATTCAATTAATAGCAAATTCTATTGGAAGGGTTAGTGCGCACTGAGTGTATTCGAGTCTTCTTCTTAAAGAGATAAAAACATCTTTTTTCTGCACTAGTTTTACCAATAGAGTTCGCTGTTGGTTGACTCAGTTGGCTGCATGAAATTGCAGAGCAAACAAAATACCTGGCGCCATCTATTGGCTACTGCACAAAAGTTAAATGAGGTGTTATAGCTCGCTCGGGCTTCTGTAGGGTCCTACTAAAATAGGAAAAAAAAATCGACATTTTTCTTTCTGTATTCGCATTTGCAAAACTTGAACAATGCCCACCAAATTAGAATTGTGAGAATAGGTCAGGAATTTGAATAAAATCAAACAACAAAGTGGAAATTATTTATCATTACATCACAAAAATGAAAAATACCTATGTACTTAATTTAGGATGCTTAGTGTGGCTTCCTTAACATGGTTGGTAGAAACAGTGTCTTAACTTTTGTAATACCTATAAGATCTGTGATACAATTGACGTGTCTCGCAGAAATAGAAAAAGAGAGCTTAATTGTAATAAATACAAGTTAGAAAGTAATAAAAAATGACATGCGCGCGCAACTCGTGGATGCAGTGTAGCCAGATTGTATTGTTGCAGAACAAATGTAGACAATACAAATCGAACATTATAACATTAAAGAAGTGATATATTGTCAAGTGTTTTACAACGCCTTAAATCAGACAAAAAAAGAGCTTTAAAGTGTATGTTAACATCGATGAAACTTTTATTTTAATAAATGTTTCATCCGGCAACATCGCACAATGAAATTGCAAAGGAATATGTCAAGTATAATCTAACATAACCTTAAACGACACTGGGAATTAGGCAATCTCAATCACGTGATTTTCTAATGGCCGTTCGGGTCAAATATTGCGGTGACAAGCCGGTGACGTTTGACATTCATAAGGAGAGCATTTGTGTTCTGGGGTCGTATTTTCGAATCCATGCGAATTCTTTCGCATGCGATCTAATTCGAATGAAAAAAGTCGTGTACGAACTAAAATGCGTATTTTTGACGGCCCGTCGAAAATGATATCGTATACGAGTATCATTTGCGTTGGCAACGTCGCAAATTCGAGTATTTGGTAATAGCCATTTCGACCGATACAAAAACGAAGAGGTATTTTTTGACAATTGGCTTTTTAAAAATACCATAAAGCCTAGTCTCCATGGACGCGAAATCGCGAATTTTTTTTTGCGGATATTTTCCGATTGGTTGGAATTTGACATTTAACATTTGATTTTTTTATGGCGGCAAAAATTCGCGAATTTTTTAACTTCTTGCGGCGTCGCAAAAAAGTTAACTATTTTTTAACTTTCCGCGAAATTTCGCCAAAAAAAAATGAGGTTATGTGGTGTTACTTTCAGTTTAGTTTTGTTTATGTTTTTGTCGGTATGTGCTCTGTTCTCTGTGAGTCGTTGATGTGTT